CAATGTTACCAACAGATTGCTGAGGATCTGTCAATACAAAGTAGCTTATAATCCTAGAATAATTACATTTGTATTTGTAATTCATATTTATATTTGACAATGGCCTGGCTTATGCTCATTTTTGGAATCAGGAATGGCATCCACTTCCTAAACAACAGGCCTCTGGAAACCATGGATTTAGATAAACGATGATAGTTTATCTAAAAGACTTCAGGTCTTTTGTTCATAGAGTCACTGTGAGTTGTGCTCAGCTTGACAGCAATCAACAACCGCCACATGCTCATTTATTTCTTGAACTTAAGAATGTTCAAAAGGGAAACAAACCAAAAGCAAATTAGTCTTTTTTTTTCCTTTTGCAATTTGGATTTTTGACAGTGTGAAAATATTACATACTTGAAAGTTTGTAGAATAAATAGAACCTGCTTTTGTGGGCTATGCTCAGAACAGTCATATGCAACTAAATTGATGAATACATCAATACTATTAAATAAAACTACTGGGGAAAATAGAAACTAAACACACCCAAATGGGGCTATCTAAATCCCAGTTCAGTTTTGAGAGAAAGTGGTTTTTTAGAGCAGATGTAGATGGAGTTTGTCTTCAGTTTTGTTTGAAAGAACATTATACTGTGCGTGTTCTTACCATTTGATGACTCAGTAGGAAGTAAGGGCGAGTTAAACCACAGGGCTCCGAAGAGGAAGCTATATATGGTAAAATCTATTTCTTAAGAGCAGCCTTATTGCAGGCAGTGAGAGAACTAAGTTGACAGGTCTCAGAATGATTGAAGTGCGGGAGGAATTTCAAAGATTAAAATATTTATCAGTGAATAGAAAAGAGTGCTTTATTTATCACATTAAGGTTGAGATTTTGGAAATCCTCTATTTTCTTTTTTTGCAGGAAAGGGAATATCTGACTATCAGATGGTTTTCTATACTGAGAATCTATTATATTCTTGTCATGACACATCTTCATGCTTTTGCTTTTGAAATAAAAGTACATACTAGTGAATAGTATAGTTGTTGGCCATTTTCATTACCTTAATCCCCCCTGTAGGAATACATGTAACTGGATACTATGGTACTTTCTGCTTAATAAATGGGTTTTTTTGTTTTTGTTTTTTTGTTGAAGCATGTATATGAGGTTTATTAGGGAAGTTAACAGGTTGCAACTCAGTATGGCAACAGGAATGTAAATTCTCAGTCAGGGCAGCTTCTGAAGTGTGATTTCAGGCCCTTCAGCCTTTTGACTGTAGGCCAGTGTTACAAAGCTCACCTTAGTCCTGCCAATTACGGTGGTTCCTCTCCCCTGTTCCTTGCCCCTCTCTCCCGTCTTCCACCAAGCTGGGCAAAGACCCCTGTGTCTGGTTTCTTTAGGGTAGCAGTCCCAGGTCAGCTCTGGCTCATGTCAGGTCTCTGGCTCTCTGCTGCGGCTGCCGCTGCTACTCCCATAAGGAGGCCCCATCTGAATGGTGCAGGAATCTGTAGCTTCATGTGAGTGGTGCAGGAATCTGTGGCTTCATGTGAATGGTGCAGGAATCTGTGGCTTCAAAGAATGTGCACTGCAGTCTCTGCTTCATTCCTGCTGGTAGTGAGGTTCCCAAATTTCTGCCTTAGTCTCCAGAGAGACACCATTGCTCTTCAGTACTTTGGAGAGGTCCCTAACAGCAGACTTTCCCATGGCAATATGTCTTCTAATTTCCTGGCTGCTGGTAATAAATGGTTTTATTAATAAATTGCTGATGTCTTTAGTTCACATTAACATTCCAATTTTGTTTATAAATTTAAAAATATGTTAGTCATTTCTAAGTTCAAGAATGTAGAGGTGTCATCCCACCTCATCTAGCTTCACGTAAAGCTCATGAGAAGAGAGTGAGGCCCATAGCCTAAGGCTGTTTCTTGTGATTCTGAGAAGTCAGATATACCTCCTCTCTCCAACATGTTCACCTGTCTGACAGCAGGGGGCCTGGCACGCATTCTCTCCTGGATGTGCTAATTCATTGCAGTGAGCACATACAGCTCACAGGCTAGGTTTATGATTATGGGTTTATTAGGAAAGAAACAGGTTATAATTCATAATCGGGAACCATTCTGTCCTTTAATTAGGACAGACTGTCCCCTTGACGGCAGTAAACAACAAAAGTATCTGAATACACTGTTTATGTGGGGTCAAAAATAGCAGAAACATGAACTGAATGGATTCAGGCAGTGTTGTGAATATAAAATGTCCTGATTTCAGATAGATTTTTTTATAAAATAGTTTTCTATTTTATAGTTTAGTATTTTATAAAATAATATAAAATTCAGTCTGCTTAAATAGCACATGCTCTGTTTTTCACACAGACTTGTAAAATTCTGGATGACAGGATGCTCTAGACTAATTAAATATAGTTCATTGGTATAATTTTCAGCAAGAGTAGAGATTCTTGGAAAAAAAAACACCTTTCATTTTTCAGACTCTGATGAATTTAATGTTGCTAGGTTTTACCAACAGCCACCATCCTTGTACATAATAGCCTTCTATCAAAGTGTGGGTTAATCATTTACTGACCTTTGTGGTGGTACTGTCGTCACCACATTCGCATAGTGGTTTTAGGCCACACTTTTCTACAAGAATGTATGGCACTTCGAGCTGTAGAAGAATAGACTTTTTCTGAATATAAACTCTATTTTCTATGTTTAAATACTCTGGTGGCCTTGTGGCAAGAAGCTGTGCTGTAATCCCAACAGCATGTGGTTTGAATCCTACCAGCTGCTCTGTGGAAGGATGGGCAATCTCCTCCCGTGCAATTAACTGCCTCAGAAAACCTGCCAGAGAGTCAGCTATGGGCTGGTTCCGACTCGACGGTACACAAGAACAAATCTACAGCAAAACATTTTTTAACATTTATTTGTCATGTATTTCCTTTATACCAGACACAGTTCTAGGCACCTGAGACTCATCAGTAAACAAAAGTCCTTATTCAGTGTAGCTAACACTGACTGAAGATTTGTTAAATGTAGTGGCTCCCGCCCCTCTGTGCTTGTCATGCTGTACTGGCTGTTGTGATACTGGAATCTGTGCCATTGGCCTTTGAAATACAAGCAGGCTCTTACCGGTGCGCGGATGCCAGCAGAGCCTTCAGACTAGGGAAGACGGCCTGGCCTTCGGCTTCTGACACTCCTAACGGATCACAGGAGAATTCTGTCCAGTTTGCTTCTTGGGGTTATATTTTCAAGAAGGCTCAATTCCTGAGCATTGTCTCTGAAGGAGCAACTCACCACGGTTGTGGGATGCTCTCGGAGAGGTGCCTTGGAACAGTGGCTGCAGCCTTGGAGTTGTAACACCCCGGCAGTTGCAGTGAAGACCAGGAACCAGTCAAGTGTTTCATTCTGTCATGCATGGGGTCACCAGGAATTGAAGTTAGTTTGTTAGCAACTGTGATGACAGTTGCCTTGTTGCATAGCTTCCTGATTGATGCACATTATTATGCACTTGACAGCTTACCATTTTGGATCAGTGCAGAAATGCCACCCAAGAAAGGCTTGCCAGTCCATTTGCATACGATCCCAGCCTTCAGATCTTGGAGGGGTCCAGTCGGCCTTGCACACAGGGGTTGCTGTGGGCCAGAGCTGACTAGGCAGAGGGTCAAGTGGTTTGGTGTTGGGTCCTCAGATGACTGATCTCAGAATTCACCCATGGTTCTGTTTCAGGCATTAAAACTTCTACTTTATTAATTTCTGAGGTATAAAATGAAAGTGTGATCTGCCATTGATAATGCTTTCATTGAAGAAATTACACTATCAGAATGTAAAATTGTATTATTGGTATTATTTTGTGTAACTAGGTAAAATATGAGTAACCAAACACTGTATACTTAATAATTGTTTCATGTAATCCTGGTACAGGTATCCTTTAATTTAACCATTTTGGAAAATAAGATTGGTTAAGTGAAGTGCCTAAGATCGACTGAAAAAATGCATTTTAGAATTGACATTTTTGTCTGGTTCATTTTGGAACATGTCTGTGTGGGTTTTTTTTAAAGACTTCTCATTTGTTGAATGAGTTTGTCTATTCTAATCCCAAATACTTCTTGAGTGACTGCTAGTACCTCGGCCTTGGAAAGGCATCAGGCTCCAGCGTGAACTCAGCTTAGCTCTCTGCTCTTTTGGGGCTTTCTCTCTACTGGGGAATTTTGACAATAAACAGTAAACTAATACACAGAGACTCAGGAGGGGTGAAAGGAGTGGTGGTTTGGGAAGCACAAACTGTATAAATGTAAAGTGGTCATGTTCAGACACAGTTTTTATGTGGCAGTGTAAGTTAGTAAATATGTTCACACTAACCTGCTGTTACTGTTTCTTTCCAGTTTGTGAAGTGTGGCTATGCAGGTTCTAACTTCCCAGAACACATCTTCCCAGCTTTGGTTGGAAGACCTATTATCAGATCAACCACCAAAGTGGGAAACATTGAAATCAAGGTAATACATTTTTTTTTCTTGTTAAATGAGGATGAAAATCTGTGAGTTGTTCTTTGAATAGTTTTAAAATATGACCCTAGAAAAGCAGGAGAGAATGGCAGAATGTCTGAAGTTTTCCATTTATATCAGTACTTGAAAAAGGGACACAAAGGCTGAAGTCACTATGAAATGCAAAATTAAAGTCCTCTTGCTAAAATTTCACGTCAGCCCAGCATTTTCATGTTTTTTAATTCCATGTATTTGCTCTTATACGTTAGTGTCTTCTGAGTCTTCTGAGACGACTTCTTTCCCTGTTCTCAAGGCCTAATAAGCCCCTGAATTCTTTTTGCCTCTATTGTTAGTGAGCACCGGGTGTGAACCACAGGGGTTCCTCTTTTCAGTGGTGGAGGCTCTGAGCTCCACATGGTCCAGGAGGAAGCTGCATTTGACCTTACACGGTTTTCTTATACCATGAGAAGAGTGGAGGGAACATGTCATTGCCGACGCATTCCACATCATCACATCAGCTAACTACATAAAGGGTTATAGACTTTATTCCCGTATTTAAGGGATCAGACATCAAGTGAGAGTTAAAATGCTTTAGAAGAAAAAGACATATACAAACAATCAAAAGGACAAGGTTCATCAGTTGTTAAGAATCTGATTATATAGAATGTAGAGAAGAATGTTGAGATTGCTGCAATTAATTATTTATGAATAAGTTGCTGCTGTTAGTCATATCTGGGCAGACTTGGGTGAGATTTCCATGAACTGTTAGATTCATTATTAGACCATTAGAGTCATTTGAAATAATACTTAGTTAGGATATACCTCTCTGGGACATTTGTTTGCAATATCTAGGAAAGTGTTAAGATGTGGTAGAAATTTGCTACTTGGAAATAGAGAATTGAATTAAGTAGTGAATAAAAATCTAAGCTGAAACTTAGTTTCTGGATTAATTTTTAAAAAGGCTTAAGATAGTTATCTGGCCTCTTTTATAATATCACCAAAAAAATCAAATTAAACATTAAATGTTTTAGAGTTTTGATGGTTTTGTGTTTGTTTTTGTTTTGTTTTGTTTTGTTTTTTCAGATCTTTTAAGAAATTTGAGATTCCTTATTTTCCTTTCTTGAACTCCTTTGATTTTTCATAAACCCAGTCTCAAATGAACTTTGACTAAAAATTTAGCTAACGATAGTGGTAAGGATAAACTACATTTGAATAAAGTTGAAAAAAGTACTTTTATGCCGACTTTCAAAGAATTACTCCTTTATTTTGTAGATAGTAATTTTTTTGAGATTTTAAAATATCATGTGTAGCCATTTTTATGCTTCTACATGAGCACAAATAATTAATGTCTCTTCACTCTCACTTTCTTGCTCTTTAAGGCCAAGTTATAGAAATCAACCGTAACAAGACACTTTGCCAAGGAATTCCCCAGGGCCATTTGCTTGTATGGTTGTCATTCTGTCGTTCTGTTGGCTCAGCTCATTGCCGTCTGCTCAGTCTTTTAGCCTCTCTCACATTAGTTTCTTCTTTGAATAGAAAACAGTAATTATGGACCTTTGTCAAATTTAACTTGAGGATTAGAAGTTGGAGGGTGGGGGAGGATGGGAAACAACCTTGAACTGTCTTATTCTTAGTCCACCCAGCTAGACATTTTTTATTATAATTTACTTTCCTTAATTAAAGTTGTTAAATTCGGTAACAAATTGAAGGGACTTGAATTTTTGGAATTCCTTTGCCTGGTGGATTGACTTAAACTTTTTGTCTCGTGTTAGCGAAAATGTGGTAGTAGACCAAAGCAGGTGTAATTTTGAATTGTTTAATTAGTTCATTTTTAATCAGGAGTAGTAATAACTGTCCATGTTAATTTGGCCCTAATTAACTCCGTAAAATAATAACAGTACTGCATCTGACCTCTACCTAATTTGTCTCTGTTGCTTGTATGTTTAAAAATTTCACTGAGGATTTTATTTAGGCCTTTTCTGACTCTTCCTTCTACCTTCTCTCTCTTCACCTTTCTTGACCTGTTGAAGTAGAATAACAAAAAGATGGTAAGTGAGGTTACACACATGCTCTGTTTGTTTTCCACGTTTGCTTGGTGGGACAGTAGTTGTTGTTTTGTGGCCCTGTAGTGTTGGGGTGGGGGGATGAGTCCATATTTTTTTTTTTATTCTTTGATTTTTTTTTTAACCTTTTTCATTGCTTCAATTTGGTAGCAACTAATTTAAGTCTTTTACTTTCTTGATTTCCTACGATAGACCAAACAAGAACTAATTACTAACATAGTTCTGAGTTGTTTTCCTTTTGTTTCTTATTGGTGAATGCTGTAATTAAAATGGAATGTGGTGTGCATAATAATCCTAGAAACTAAGTGGCTTTATGTAGGATGTGTGGGACTAAGAAAAGTGGGGTGAAGTTGTTACATTTGCATAAATCTGCTTTATGAACCAATGTTAAATTGAACACTGTTTGTCATACCAGCACATATATTTGTATCTAGTATGTTATTATATGTGAATTTAATAAATTGAGAAAAAATTTATAGACAAATGAAGTATAGAAGGAAAAGAGGAAGGAAAGAGACTGGCTTTATTTCCTACACTATCCTTGTTGGTGGACAGACTTTACAACATTATCTGAGAATAAATAAGAAGAATGTGAAGCACATTTCCACCACCATCACCGTCCTCCTACCCCCAGTCAAGACCACTGGGTGGTTCCTTTTTCCTTTGAACTAGAAGCTTGCTGGGCTCTTTCCAGTGCACTTTGCGTTACATTTTTCTGTGATGTCCCAAATGCTTCCTTAGTAGGTAGTTTAAAATTTCATTAGACTTTTTTTTTATTCTCCCCCCCCATACCTTCTATAAGCATCTTGACAAAGATGAAATATCAGACATTTTTAATGGTGTGATATATTTTAACTAATAACAGTAACTTGTGAAGTTTTCCTTTCAGTAAACAAGCCATTGGAAAAGTAGAAACTCCTATACTTACCCTGTAAAAGGGAGTTCTCATAGCCTACCAACCCAAAGGCAGGCAGTTTGAATCCACCAGCTGCTAAGACGGAGGAAGATGGGCTGTCTCCTCCCCTGTGATTAACTGCCTCTGAAAACCTGCTGCTCAGTCTGTTCTGACTTGACAGCACATAGTAATAACCTATAAAAGGTCATTTGTTTAAATAAGAAAACAGTGGCTAGAGTACTGGGGAATGAATGTTCTTTCCTTCTGGGGATTTAAATGGTTTTAAAATTTTATTTGCTCTGTTTTCTAATTTTGAAATGACTATTCAAAACGATTCTTGGAATATCATCTACACTGGCTGATTTTTATAAATTATATATGCCTTGGACCCAGCATCTCCTACAGTTACTTTGCTTTTCCATTCTTGGATAGTGGAGCCGAGTTTAGACTTGAGTGTCAAACAGTGGAACAGATGGTAAAAGCCTGAGGCTTGATCTGATTACCTATGACTTGTTTCCAAGGTGTGAGGGCAATTTTTGCTTTTTGGGAAGTTGAGGTGGTCTTGCAGGGGAGTGGGGGTAAGCGAGAAGATCTAGGATTTTTAATTGGAATTTAAATATATTTTTGAGCTGGCTAACTTGAGCTGCTTAAGAAATCTTGCCTTTTGGAAGTAAGTTAATACCTTTTCCTTCCATTTCAAATGTCTTCCTTGCTCAGAAGGATGGTGGGGATTCTCAGTGTCAGGCATTTCTTCCCGCTACTCTTTTATACTGTTTATATTGATCTAGAAATAGGTGAGACATTTTTCTTGTGAGTTGGTATTAGGCCAGTCGTACATGGAATAGAAAGTAAATATTCTGATGAGATCAAATCTAACTTAACTCCAAGTTGATTGAAATACAGCTTTGAATATATGTTGATTTTGTAAACTGTTGTTACCTTGTATAATCCAAAGGAAATTTTAAATTTTGGGTTATTATAGAGGAAAGTAACAATCATTTTTTGGATTTATTGATGGTCAGAAGTAATAGGTGCCTTTGGAGGTATAGATTCCCCTCACTTTCCCCAACATTTTGTTAAGCAGTGTACCAAACACACAGCAGAGTTGAAAGAATTATATAATGAAGTCCATGTAGGCATCATCTAGGTTCTGCCATTATTTCCCTTACTGATTTCTCACTTACCTTTCTAGTAGGTAAGGAATTGTACTGACAACCTAAAGACATGAGGTTCGAATCCATGAGCTGCTCTGGGAGAAAGATAGGCAGTCTCCTCCCCTGCATTTTACAGCCTCTGAAAGGGTCAGCCATGAGGCACTTCCAACTCATGTGACATCAATCCACTTTACCTTTTTATTTTAGTTTGTTATTTCGGAACACACTGCAGATAGTGGTGTAAACTCTAAACCAAACCTATAGCAATGTGTTAATTTCCACTGAGCGCAGCCCGAGCGACACAGTGGGTGCTCCCTGGGATTTCCAGAGCTGTAGGTCTTCACAGCAGGAGACTGCCACGTCTCTCTCCCGGAAGAGCATCTACTGGATTTGAACTGTTGTCCTTTCATTAGCCGCTGAGCACATAAGCTCTGAGCCTCCTCCCCTCCTGTCCAAAAGCCTAGACCGAGACCCTGCTGTCAGGTCAGTCCCATCTCCTTGGACCTCCACCGGGGTCCTAGTCTGGTATCAGGGTGCAGGCAAGCTGCCTCATCTTCCTCCTGGAGAGAAGTGACTGGTTCCCGCTACTGACCTTTTGCTCAGCCACTCACCTACCGTGCCACCAGCACTGCCCAGAGGTAGAAAAGTACTTCAGTGTGTTTATAGGCTGAATGAAACCTACAAAGGACACTTTGTATCTTCCTTGGGGTTAACCTCTGGGGTAGGAAATTGTGCTGTTTGGGAGAAAGTTGGGCAGACTCCTTCCTCCAGGAGGACTTAAATACAGCCCCTGAAAACCCACTGGAGACTCTGCTCTTAGATGGTTCTGACACAGCAGTGAGTTTCAGTTGGTTTTGTGTTTGTGTTTTTAAATAGATGGTTCTAAGAAGATAGCATGTAAGAAATTTTAATAGTAAGATATGGTAAATTAGCTTTATGAGAAATTAATTGCCACAGTGAAGTTTTAATCAATACTTCTAGCATTGATAAATTTTTTCCTTTGGTTAGTGGATTTTTCAGAGTTTTTGTAATGTAATAGAGTCCTATCCTTGTTTTTACCCATGATTTTTTTATTATTGGTGTTTGTTATTTTTAGAAGCTCTTTTCTTTTATTCTTTTTTCTTTGTTTTTTTTTTTTTTTTAGAAGCTCTTAACTCCTATTTTGTACACTTGTCTTAAGACATCTCATGTTAACTTAGCTTCTACTTTTTTCATTTCCTCCTATCTGAAACTGGAGGTTTTATAGTAAATAGCTATTTCTGATACCGGTTTCTGTTTTTAATAAAATTCATTAATACATGAAAGAATTCTTTTCATTTAACATTTTTTAATTCTGTGTCGCCAGGTCATGCTGACTCCAGCTGATTTTCAGAGGCTGTAAATCTCAGGGAAGGAGATTGCCCATCTGCTTTCTGTGGAGCAGCTGGTGGTTTCAAACCACCTGCCTTTGAGCTGGCTAATAACCAGCTGACAGTTAAATAAGTTCAAGTTCTGACACATTGTTAATAAGCCTTTTTTACACATAGAAAAGTGTCACTTTCCAATATAAGTTATGTTGAGTAAGCGTCTGTTGGAGATAAGATTTGGGAGGATTGTACTGCGTCAGTAATAGTACAGCTTTCCAATATCATACTTTCAGATTGAAAATTTTGCTCATGAGATCTTCTCAATGAAAAGTTACTTAGCTTTGTCTGTTTTTCCTAGGGATTCCCCATTCATTTTGGTAGTGTATATATAGAAATGTAAATTCTAGTTCAGGCATAGAAGAAGTTTGTGACATTTACAAGCTAATTGGTGCATATATACATTACAATAGTATATTAGAGTATCATTTACTTCTTTTTCTTTCAATATGCTTTACAGTATTTCCTTTTGTAATTTTGACATTTAGTACAAAGAAATGTGTGCTGCATGCATGGAGCATTTTCTACAAGGTTTTTGTTTTCCCCTGATACGCTATTTCAAATATAACAGGCCTTATTTTTTGAACATTTGAGCAAAAGAAACAGATGAAACCTTTCAAAACCTTCCAAAATATGAAAAAAGTGGGGTTTATTTGTGCTAATGCTCTTCTTTTGGAAACATGTGTATTAAAGGTAAGGTGAATTTATTGATTTAAACCACGTTGTACATAAAAAAAATGTATTTTTTTATTATTATGCTTTGCAAGACATTGTTCTTGAAATAAGTGTTTTACCTTGGTCTGAAAGTGTTAGCAGTAATATGGGAATAAGGTGTGTGTTTTGTGTGGGTTTTTTTTAAAGATTGGTCTAAAACTGTACTATTCTAATTTTCTAGGACCTTATGGTTGGTGATGAGGCAAGTGAATTACGCTCCATGTTAGAAGTTAACTACCCCATGGAAAATGGCATAGTCCGAAACTGGGATGACATGAAACACTTGTGGGACTATACATTTGGGCCAGAGAAACTTAACATAGACACCAGAAATTGTAAAATATTGCTCACGGAACCGCCTATGAACCCAACTAAAAACAGAGAAAAGATTGTTGAGGTAGGTTTTTAAATGGAATATGTGCCTATATGTTTCTGTGATGTAATACTAAAGCCAAAAACTATGCCTTTTCTCTTCTGGTCCTTACTGTGGTTTAAAAGAATAACAATAATTTCTCCCCACCTCCTAGATCACATTTATGGAATATATCTGCTAGTTACTACTCTAATATATATATCAGTAAACAAAACTTCCATCTCCCCAAGTTCAAATTCTCACCCAAATTCATTGACGTTGAATCAGAACCACCTCCTAAGTGGCCTTCCCATTGTGGTTCAGAGACTATAAATTGCATGGAAAGAGATTGCCCATATTTCTCCTATGGAGCTGCTAGTGGATTCGAATCACAACTCCCCACTACACACTCTTAATAGGAGAATACAGACAATAAGAGGAGAAAATGTTTATGTGAGTTAATGAAATGGTTTGATAGGTGGTGATAGGTGCTAAAACATGTTAGGATAAACAGTGGGGAATGGAGGGTCTGCACTGTGCATAGGTTGTGCGTGGTAGTAGCCTTTGTGAGAATGTGAAAGTTAAACAGGTTAGAGTTAGCCAGAAGCAGGACTGACTGATCCAGCTCTTAAGCCAGTTTCTTTTGGCTCAGTCAGGACCAATGAAGTGAAACTAAACTGGTTTGTGAAATATAGGTGTGCCACAATAAACAGAAACGCAATCTAGAAGTTTTATCTGCCTCTTAGAAAACAAGAGTTCCATTTGAGTTGCATACTAAGCAAATCTCTTTAGTAGCAGAGTCGGAAACCCTGGTGCTGTGCTCAAAGATAGTGGCTGACCACGATACTCTCCAGAATCTTGGAGAACGAAGCTCCTGAACAGGTTCATCACTGCTTTCCTGAATCTCCTAGTCCAGGAATTTGAATCATATTTTTTCCCCTATTCTGGCTACTGTTTTATTTACCCAAAGTTTAAAATCTGAGTCTGTTCCTGTTTCACTGCATCTACATGTAACTGAACCCAGAAGTACTAGTTTGAAGTCTTGGGCAGGATGTATGAAGGAAGAGCATCGCAGGGAAAGGGAGTCACTTGTGTGGCTGGTGGATATGGAGGAGGGAAGACAGCAGGTCCAGTATGTCCAGTATGTCATGAGGGCCTGGTTGCCTAGGACGTAGGCATTAGAGGGGAATTGGGCTTTCACACTGAATAAGATAGAGAAGGGCAGCTCTTAACAAAAAGTGACGTGGTCAGCTTTTTTGTTCTCTATCTGCTATGCTAAGAATCAATTACAAGGAAATAAAGGTTAAAGAAGACACCAGCCTGGAGGCTCTACACTATCAGTGTTATTGCTGTTAAGTGCCATCTCGACTCTGAACAAAAGACCTGAGCACTTGTATAACTTTCATTTCTAAGTTCATACAGTTTTTGGAGGCAAAACTATTTTGGAAGTGGATGCCACTCCCGCTTCCAAGCCTGTTATAATCTGGGAGCTCCACCAAACACTGTCCACCATGGGTAACCATTATTTCATATGACACATCAGTGTTACATTGTTCATCACAACAACCATGAGTTACTTCTGTATAGCAAATGGACCAGAGCAGTGCTATACCACCTAGAAGAATGTTTGACCAAAAACCAATTAAAACCAGGACTGAGGGCTGCAGATTAAAATCACCCACAACATAACTTTCTATCCACTAGGCCAACAGAGCCTATCTCTAGGCCAAAAAATAGAAAAAGATAGACAGGACCTGTGTAGTAGCAGTAGAAATAGCAAGAAGTGGCCAGGTGGTTGGTAAATTTTGAAGGTAGGGCCAGAAAATTTTCTGATGAATTAAGTATGGATACTAGAGAAAGGAGGGAGTTCTACTGGCCCTAGTGGGACAGTTAAGAATTTACACTGCCAGCCCAGAGGCACATGTTTCAAATCCACCAGCTGCTCCATGGGAGAAGGATGGGCAAGCTCCTTCGGTCCCATTTACAGCTTCTGAAAACTGGGAATCAGTTCTGACTCGGTACACAACAACAACAGTGAGGCATCGGGATGACACCAAAGGTTTCGACCAGACTCACCAGCAACTGAGGTCACAAAGCCTGAGGGTAAATAGACTGGGACTTAGCGAGTGATCACAATTCCAGAGTGTGGCATGTTGAGTTTGAAGTTCTCATTAGATACCCACCAGAATAGGTAGTGTTAAGTGGGTAGAGTTGAGAATACAGGCCAAGGTTCTGGAAAAAAGACCCAGAATCCTGGGTGTGAAGATAAAAACTGACAGGCATAGGGATAAAGATGGTATCATTCACCAAAGATGTATAAATAAACAGTGATGGATTCCATTTCCTTTTATTAGATATAGAGTAGAAACTTTGTCTTTTATTTTCTAGTTAGGGTGAAAATTTTGAAAGGCGTTTTAAAGTAATTTTTTTAGATATCATAAAAAACAACTTTAACTCTCATTTTTATTTAAATGTTATAAAATTTGAGGTCACATTTTGACTTGTTGAACCCATGTTTTTCAATATAGTTGACAAATTGATTCTCTTATTGGCTTGTAGGTGTAAATTTGGTTCTGACTGATATGCCCTACTTTACATAGTCACGTAGACATTTGCTTTTTTGTTTTTATGGGGTTTTTTGACATTTGGTTTTTTGTGTTTGTTTTTTTTTTATGGTCAACACAAAACAAACCTCCAAGCCCCAAAGCCTCTAGCAGACTCTGGCGTTGATGTGTGCAGATATCACATCCCTTTTGCAGGACATGGCTGGGTTCCCGTCTGTTGTCATGGATTGTGTTAGTCACTCGAGGGCTCCTACATCATTTCCGTTTTCATGACTTTGAGGAGGGAATTGAGGATGATGGGATCCTGCTGTAGTTAGAATGTCTTGTCGTACTAAGTTTGCATATGTTTCAGAGTTGGAACATATAAATTCTGTAAACCGTTGTGATCCATTAATTAAGCTTTAAAATGCTTAATTGTTTTATTGATGCACTTTATTAAATTTATGTAAGTCTCAAGAGTTCGAAAATTTCAGTTCTGCGTATTTCTCATTATGGATAGCTCTAACACTGTAAATATTCATTCTGACTATTCAGAGCTGTAGTCAGCCTGACTAGTCAAGAACACTCACTGTCGGGACAGCGGTAATGGCAGGCTGCTCCGTGCTGCCTGGGCTGCAGTGAGCATGGGGGTTCAGAAGGGCCTGAGGGAATGTCTCCTGGCTTGGGTGGAGCTGCAGCCCAAACTCTAGGAGAGAAGAGTGCTCCGCAGTTTATCTCTCAACCATCAAGAATTAACTGCATTTAGCTTTGGTGGTTAACTCCTTACCACTAAGCCACCAGAGCTCCTGTTTTTCATGGTGGTGGTGTTTATGTACCTTCAAGTCACCTGTCAAGTCACTCATAGCGACTCTGTGTACATTAGCTCTGAAACCTGCCCTGTCCTGAACACTTATTGCCCCAGTCACTGAGTTAGTCCATCTCAGCCAGGGTCTTCCTCTCCTGAGCTGTCCCGACACCCTTCCAAGGGTGGTTCTTCTCCAAAGACTGGTCCCTCCTGGCCACATGCCCAGAGTATGTGAGATGGAGGCTCAGAATCCTTGCCTCCAGAGAGCAGCCTGGTTTCACCCTCTGCAGGACAGAGCTGCTTGACAGCAGAATTGCTTCACAGTGCCAGAATTGACCATGCCACCCTCAGGGTTTCACTTTTTCCCCTATTTATTTTTGTATTTCTGCATCCTCGTCTTACTGCCTGCACCTCAGCTGCCTTCCCCTCTTTTCTTTCCCAGCTGCCATGGGTAGTGCACATCCATGGCCAAGGTTAAGGGAGAGGGCTGACAGTCAACACTATCCAGCAAATTTCTGTGGCTTGGCTTTACATTAAAATACAGCTACCTTAAGAGATACCAATTAAGACAGGCTTAGCCCAATGCAGGAAGCTTTCACTCTTAATTTGCCATTAACTAAAACTCAGGTACTTTGAAACATTTGGGAAAATCTGGAAAACTCCGTAGGTATCCACGAATCTATCCTCAGAATTGGAGTTCTGTCTGGTGCCTCCACAGAGGCCGACAGAAGCTGATGATACTGGAGCGCCCTGGTCCCTTGCTTGCTAGTTTGGGTCAGTAGTCTTCTCTGACCGGGAGGAAAGCCGAAGGAATGTTTTCTCTTTTTATATGATCTTTAAAACTATATTAAGTAAGTTTGCAAATACCAGTATGTTCTTTTTTTCTTTCCACATTTTTAGGTCATGTTTGAAACTTACCAGTTTTCTGGTGTGTATGTAGCTATCCAGGCAGTTCTGACTTTGTACGCTCAAGGTGGGTGAAATCTAACTTTTCTAAAGATCATTTCTCTTTAAGTTTATGATTTATTAAGTATTATAGTCTGTGGAAGAAATCAGGTTTCTTAGTAACTTGTTTATACATTCCAGGAAAGCACATTCTTTATCTATCACACTTTAAATATTCTCGGCTTTTTAAATTTGTCAAAGCATCTTCTATATTTTATCCCTATTAAACAGTAAGTGACTTAAGTTGTATAGACTTATTTTTTAAATACAAAGTATTCTTCTTAAAACTGTTACTTTTTATTCTGTAGAGATGAATATGGGATCTAGCTTTAAAATTGACTGAAGTTTTTTTAACACTTGCAGCACACTTTTAAATTGATGGTCACGCGTAGAAACACATTTTGCCGTCATTTGTGGCAATGTGTTAAAAAAGCCAGACTCAAAATTAGATTAGTATAAAGTCATGCTCGTCAAATATAGATTGAATAAAAGGAAATAATAGACATTTGAAAGAGCATTTTTAAATTTTGAGGTGGGTTTAATGGCGAGGACTAGCATGTTCTCATTATCATCTGCTTTCTGATCTACCAGGGAAAGTCTCAAGTCTTAGGATATAAGCAGTGTGTATGACATTCCTAGAGGCGATGTGCCCTTTTGCGTAGGTCGCTTGTTCCTAACTAAACAAGCTTTTTAATGCTGTGATTCTCCATGTGGTTCCACACGTAGGGCACTTCTGTTCAGAGTAGCAAAATATTACCTCATGAAAATCCATGTTCTCCTTAGTAGTATATGTAGATAGGAAATTCTTGTTTGAAAGAAACCTTTTCTGTTGTTTGGGTGGAAATTTGCAGAACAAGTTCATTTCCACTCACCATTTAATTTTATTTAGTGGCTTTAGTTGCAACCCCCTCAATGTAGCTACGTTCTTCCAGCTTCTTCTCTGAGGATTCTGTTTCCATCTACCTGTATTTATTGCTCTGAGCTTTATTTTGGGGCAAATGCTGCCTTTTTGCTGTCATTTGGTTGAGTGTTCTGAGGAGTATGTTCCTCAGAGGTTCTAAAAAAAAAACCTAAACTCAAGCCAACTCAGCTCCTGGTGGTTTGGACTGGCAATACAGCCTTGCTTTGAGATTAGTGCAAGGCCCTATGTGTTACGCCACCAGAGCTCCCTCTCACGGCTGTTGGTGTTCACATTACAGGTCTGTTTGTTTGGCTGGCATGGAATCTCTAGCCGTGGGTTCAGACAGAGATTTGAAGAGTATCTAAGGGCCATGGTGTTGGAGCTTCCGTTAGCCTGTATCTTACAGTAACTGGTCTTGTATGATGTTGAGTTTTGATCTACATTTCCCTTCCACTCTGTTCCATCTATTATGACCTATGTTAGAACAGTCAAGGAGCTCAGGTGGTCTTGTGGGTCGGGACAGGTCCTGCCAACCCAAAAGCAGGAAGTTCAGATCTACCAGATGCTCCTGAGGAAAAAGATGGACCATCTCTTCCTGTGTGATTTTACAGCCTCTGAAAACCTGCTGGAGGGTCAGCACTGATCTGTTCCCACTGGACAGCAGTCACTTGAGTTGATGAGACAGCAGTTGGTAGCGGTAGCCGGATCCCATCTAGTTCTTCTTCTGATTTTAGGGTGGTAGAAAGGGTGGCTCTTGTGGTCATTTTCTGCGAGACCAGTAGGTGACTGTTGTTACAGCCTTTACGTGCCCAGTTGCCACTTACTAAAATAGGATACAGAGCGTTGTTTTTCTGCACTGAGTCAGGCCAGTTGACCTACATGGGACAAACTTTACTTATTCATCAGATGTAACTTGTGCTTTGCATTCTGTTTAGTGCAGAAGATGCAACAAGAAGTGAAATAGACTTATTTGCTCTAAGAATGATTGCAATCAGGTCGTAATTGTTCCTTTGACAGAAATGTAAAAATCACGTGTTACTCTGTGGGATGGGGGGGCGGGCTTGCCTCCCTCTAGGAGGTATTACTTTTTTTTTTTTTTTTTTTCGCGGTCCCTCCCCGAGGTATTACTTTTAAATATGGCGTCGAGTATTGCAGTACACAGCATTTTGGGGAAATACGTGTATTATCCTTCAGTCCACATTTGAAACTCCTCAATTCTGCTTTAGGGAACAGTTCTGCTGGCATGAATTTTTGTGACATGCTGATTTAGGAAGGTGTGTTTGGCTACATGGTACAGAGAGGGTAACTAGAATGAAGGGACCTGGGATGGAAGTCAGTGTAGTCAGGAAAAATGGAAAGAAAAGAACTAGACTGAGCCTTAAAGAATTGAAGAGCAGGGACAGTCGGTCAGTTGGAATGAGGCAAGGGTGTGGCCCTGGGGATGTGTGCCAGGAAGGGACAAGTCACCTTGCTGGACGAGGGGAGAAGATAAAATGAGTTTGTATGGGTAGTGCTATTTGTTGTTGTTAGGTACCATCGAGTGCTATTTGGAATATAAATTTTTAGAGAAAATTTTGAAAGTACATTTGCATTGATGTTATAGAATGGATGGGCCATCTACTTCCTAAAGAACAGGCAGGGCTTTGAAAATCCTATGGACACTAAAGAAAAAGGACAGTTACAGTAGTAGAGGGGTAAAGCCCAGATTGAAAGTCAGATGAAATGAGGATGCTGGGAAGGGTGGAGGGTCAGCAAAGCAAAGGAAAACTCTCAACCAGGTGGATTGACACGGTGACTGCTACAATGGGGTTTAGTGTGTCTGGAAGTGTAAGGATGGAGCAGGACAGAACAGGGTTCAGATCTTTTGTTCACAGGCTCACTATGAGTTGTACTTGACTCAGCAACACCTAACAACAACAGCTAGTGGTCAGAAACTCCTGTGGGATTGGCTTTCAGTTGTCTCTCCTTCATTGATGCTGTTACATTTTTAATGTTGCATTGTGATAAAAAATGGACAAAATACACTTTCTGTTGGGACTAAAAAGACTCCACATCATCATTAACTCAGAGACACTCTAAAAAGAAATGAGGATTACTAGAGAACTCCGGGGGACTAGTGGTCACCAGAGGCACTTGGTTAATGTCCGTCTGTGGCTCCACGTGGGAAAGATGGGCAGTCTCTTTCTAGTAAAGGCTGTGAGTCGGTTCTGGCTCATTGGTACATAACAATAACAACAATGTGTATTTCTCAGCTTTACATGGTAAGAGGCCTAAATGGCCAAAGCCAAGTATAATGTGTTCATTTTGTTCCTAGAAGGTACTGTGGCATAGAAAAGTTTTCATTCCTGAAGGGAAAGTGAGGGAGAAACTGTTCAGAGATGAGAAAATAGTAAATTAATGCTTCAGCAAGTTCAAGATAATGCATATTCTGATTTTAAACCTTTCCCTCCCCCTTTCCTGTTAAAAAAAAATTGAGTTACAAAAATTTCTTTCTCATCATTAACCCACTACAAAAGGAGAATCACTGACTTTGCAGCCATTTCTACTTTTACGAAGCACACGTGGAAACGGAGCATCTAACTTCAGCTGCTGCTTCACTAACCCTCTCTGATAAGGTTTCACTGATAGTCTTCTCTTAATAATTCCTCTCTGTCCCCCAAGGGCAGACATTTCATTCCAAGTGGGAGAGATTGGAGGGAAAGAAGGAGAAAGGGAAACTAAGCAAACCCCACACTCAGCAGAGTGCACTGCATTAGTCCCCAGGTTGGAGGAAGAGTACTGAGCGTCCTGTGGACAGCCAGAAGAACAGATACTTCTTGGAGAAAACAGAGCTGAATCGCTCCCTGGAGGCAAGGACAGCGAATCTTTGTCTCCTATACTTTGGGAGTAGTGTTAGGAGAAGCTGTTCTTGGACAGGGACATCGTGCTTGGAAAGGTGGAGGGCTGACAAAAGCAAAGAAGACCCTCAGCCAGATGGCTTGACACAGTGACAGCAGCAGTGGGCTCCAGTATGTCAGAGATGATGAGGATGGCACAGGATTCAGACCTATTGTTCATAAGGGTGCTTTATGGCACCTAACAACAATAGCTAACAAAGCTTGGAAATAATCCTGTTTTGCCAGACCATCTGGAGACCCACACACATACACACCCTCCAGACCATGTGTTTATCATCACAGCAACCACGAAGTACCTCTGTAGAGCAAATGGACAGACCAGTGCTATACCACTTAGAAGAATGTTTGACCAAATTTCTTTTCCATTTGGAGGCTGAATACAATCAACTCACACCCTAATCCACCAGAACTAGAAAACAAACCTCTATAGACTCTGGCTGTACCAGATGACTTCCCAATCTTGATTCCAGCCCCAAACTGGTGACTAAATGCTTTTTTTAGCAAGTATATAGTGTAATAAAATTAATGCTAAAGAGCTAGACTCTTGCAGCAGGTTCATTGTCAGCTTTGTAATTTCAGAACACTGTCAGCTGTCCTTCATTCAATCCTGTCTCTCCTTTCAGTCTGAGCTGGTGGCATTTTTGCCTTGGTGGCTGAATGGATCTGTCTTAGCAGTCACAGGCTTTATCTCTTTAACAAAAAATTGACTTACCAAGTTCTTGGTGAGTGTTTCAGGGCACGTGTCCCTCATTTGTACAATAGGATTTCCCTAATATTTATATCTGGTTTCAGTTTGGGCAGCTCACATGTAAGTCTGGCTCCTTCTTCTGTGTTCTCTTGTAAGCTGCAAAAAGAAACTGCACTGTGTCTTTAAGATCTTCAGTAATCTAAGCTGAATGCCCGACTTCATCACATACACATTCTACCATCTGAACATAATTTAGACACGTTCTTTGCCACTGCATTAAAACTACAATGGTCCTCACTATGTGAACCCTCATCAGAATTGCCTTTGGCATCCTTACTCCTAACAGATGGTTGTTTCAAGGTAGGCAGAAGCATTGCTGTATGCAGCATGTCAAAATCCTTCCAGACTCTACCTATTAGCCAATTTCAGAACTTACTTCAGATTTTATATTTGCTGGAGCAATGCTCTCTTCTCTGACACCATATTCTGTCTTTGTTCTCTGGTGCAGCTGTGACAGAGATGCCACAAGTGTCTGGCTTTTAACAAACTGCTATAGCTCACACATTTGCAATCTAGAAGCCTGGATTCAGGAGGCCAATTCCAGGGAAGGCTTTCTTTGTCTGCTCTGGGGCATTGGCCCTGGTCTTGTCTGAGCTGCTTTTCCTGGATTTCTTGGTGGTCCTGTAGCGTTCCTCTTCCCTTCTGTTTTTTTGCATGCCTACCTGCTAGCTGATCTTGGCTGAAAGCAAAAGATACCAGGGAAATAACTTGTGTTTTATTGACTATGCAAAGCCATATGATTTTGTGGACTATAACAAATTATAGCAAGCATTAAGAACAATGGAGATCCCAGAACACTTCATTGTGCTGCGTCAAAACCTATGCATAGTCCCCGAAGCAGTTACCTGAAGAGAACAAGGGAACATGGCAGGGTGTGAGTCTGGAAAGGTGTACATGACAGTTGCATCCTTTCTCCATATGTTTTCATCTGTGTACTGAATAGATCATCCAAGAAGCAGCTCTGTATGAGGAAGAATGTGGCATCACAATTGAATGAAGGCTCATCAACAACCTGCATTATGTTTGTGGCACAACCTTGCATACAGAAAGTGAAGAAGTCTTGAAGTACTTATTGAAGAAGACCAAAGATGATGGCCTTCAATATGGATTACATTTCAGCATCAAGAAAACAAAAATCTGCAGTATCATGATAGATGGAGAAAAGGTTAATTTTGTTTGGATCAACAATCAACACCCAGGGTAGCAGCAGTCAAGAATCAACAGACATGTTGCATTGGGAAAATCTACTGTCAGGGACCTCTCCAAAGTGCTAAGGAGCCAGGATGTCAATTTAAAGACTAAGGTGTGCCTGATCTGCCTCATGACCTTTTCATTTGGTTCCTGTGCATCTAAGAGTTGGACAGTGAAAAGGCAGGCCCAAAGAAGAACCCGCCAATGCTGGTTGAATTACAGTGTTGTAGAAGAGTACCCAATATCCCATGGACTGGCAAAAGAACAAACAAGTCTGTCATGCTGGAAGTAGCTGCTAACCAGGGTGTTCCTTAGAGGCATAGGTGGTGAGACTGAACCTGCTTTGGGCACGATGTCAGGAGAAGACCAGCCTGAGAATGTTAAAAGTCAGCTAAGGAAAGGAAGACCTTCAATGATGCAGTTTGACACTGTGACTGTAACCGGAGGTTGGAACATGTCAGGAGTAGTGAGAATGGCACAGGCCTGGGCACAGTTCGTTTGGGTTCTTCATAAGGATGCTGTGAGTTGTAGTGGACTCAGTGGCCCCTAACAGCAGTAGGTTAACAGTTTACTGTTAGTAAACAACAGTTTACTTAATCTGTATTTGATCACTTAATCTGCTGTTTTATACAGTACCTCAAGAGAGATACTAAATATTGCCTAAATAACATAACAATGAAAACCCAGTCCCAGTCAAAACTATAAATTACAGCACGTATTTGCTTGCATCTAATTTTAGGTCTTGAACCCATGACCCTGAGATTAAAGAGTCCCATACTTGCACATACACACACGTATTTGGAAGAGACAGAATTCAATCTTTTTTTTTTTTTTTAGAATTCAATCTTAACAGGTATATAATGAAATATAATGAATTTTCATTAATGAATATAATGAATTTATAAAATATATATAATGAAATATAATGAATTTTCATTAATGAATATAATGAATTTATAAAATATATATAATGAAATATAATGAATTTCATTAATGAATAAAATGAATATATTTTCTATAATGAAAATAATGGTAAAAAGCCAAACTATTTTAATAGGTTCACTCTCAGTCCTGTGTAAAAATGGTGTAAAATACCCACAAAATGTGCTTTCAAGGGAACCCAAGGCTCACACTAAGTTGGAAAGAAAAAAAATTTACTGAGCTATTTTAGGATAGTATGGGAGCTCTGGTGGCCTAGTGGTGAGAAGCTGCGTTGCAACCCCGAAGGCCCACTGTTTGAATCTACAGGCTGCTCCGCAGGAGAAGGAGGGGCAGTCTACCTCTGGTGCAAGTAACGGCTTCTGAAAACCCATTGGAGGGTCAGCTCCTTCTCATTGGTACACAACAAGAAGAAGCTGTCATACGAGCATGTGTTTCTCAGCCCTAGACGTCAGATCTGTTTGTTCCCTTTATCTAGGAGAGCACATGATCAGACTAATGGTCTCTGTGATAGAGACAAACTACAGAATGCACACATAGTAAGTGCTGGCTGCTTCTAGGAGACGTGTTAGTATGACATCTGTGTGAACCTTACTGCCTTTGGTCTTTCTGATTTGGCTTTTTGTGTAAACCATCTTATGCAGGTTTGCTAACTGGTGTGGTGGTGGACTCTGGAGATGGTGTGACTCACATTTGCCCGGTGTATGAAGGCTTTTCTCTGCCTCACCTCACCAGGAGACTTGATATTGCTGGAAGAGATATTACCAGATACCTTATCAAGGTAAGTGACCGGAAAACATGGTAGCAATCATGGAAATTCTGTTGTGTGGTTTGTGTTCATCAACCTAATACAACGTTGGGTAGATCCTTTCAAGATTATCGCTGATCATTGTACCACTAGTCACGTCAGCCAGCTACCAGCATTTGCATGTTCAAACCATATATTACTTAACCATCATCTCCACCATGCTACTGGGAATACATGATTTAATTGCCTGTTTTTCTCTCTTCTGTTTCTGAGAAACAGGTATTTCAATGAGAGAGACACTGAAACTTTGTTCCACAACTTAAGCGGGCTTTTGGAACATAAAATCTGGCTTTTCTAGATAAGTTTTAAAGGCATAACTTTTGTTGTTTTGCACTTTCTTGCTCTTTCCCCAAAATCCTGATTAAAAAAGGAATGATATTTTGGAAAAACGGGTCCCAGATGCACTGTAGCTTTAAGATTACTACTTTTTATAGAACACATCCAGATTTTCTTATGTAGTATTTTAATGTTTATTTCTTAATTGAATCCGTTATTATTTTATTTGAGACCTTACCAGAGAAAGTAAGGGCTTATTACCATTGTTGTTATAAGTCCCTGAGTACGGAAATGACTCATAGCTGGCCCTCCAGCAGGTATGCAGAGCCTGTAAGTCACATGGGCGATTTCCCACCTTTCACCCTCAGAACAGCTGGTGGAGTCGAACCATCTGCCTACGGGTGGGCAGCACAGCTTCTGCCACCAGCTTGTTATGAGTTGGATTGTGAGTCCCTCAAAATAAATATTGCAGTTCACCTCTGTGGCTCACATTGAGAAGAATGTGAATCCCACAACACTTAAGTACACTCCTACAAAACCTATAGCAAGACCAAGGAGTAGGTTTTGAAGTGAAGCAAGGGAGTGCTGCCTGGTGTAAAATCAGGAACGGCCTGTGTCAGGGTTGTATACTTTCTGTCCACCTGATGAGTCTGTATGCTGATTAGATCCTTCATCAGTCTAGGAAGCTAGGCTCTGTGAAGAAGAGACTCAGGAACCATTCACATTATGCAGATGACACAACCTTGCTTGCTGAAGATGGGGAGAATGTGAAGTGCCTGCCGCAGAAGATAATAGACAAGTCTTCATTGTAGATTGCCTCTCAACATCAAGAAAACAGAAATTCTCACCACTAGGCCAGTAAGCAACATCACGGTGGAGAAAAGATTGGAGTTGTCAACAATTTCATCTTACCTGGATCTGTAATTAGCATCCTTGGTACCAGGATGATCAGTCTTGCTTTGGGCAAGCCTGCTGTCAGGGATCTCTCTGAAGAGCAGTGGTGTCATTTTGAAGACTAAGATGCACTTGATTCAGTCCATAGTCTTCTCAATTACTTGCTCTCTGTCTGAAAGCTGGATAATGAATAAGGATGATAAGAGAATAGTTGAGTTTAGGTGATAAAGAGTACTGACTACCATGGACTGCTAACGGAATGAACAGATATGTCTTAGAGAAAGTGCAGCCAGAGTGCTGCTGGGAGGCAAGGATGATATTTCATCTCATAAATTTGGGCATGTTGCTAAGAGAGGCTATTTTTTGGAGAGAGGCTATTTCTTGGACAGGGTCATCAAAAGAGAGGAAGACCCTGAATGAGTTGGATTGACACAGTGTTGCAGTGGGCTCTGAAGTATCAGGGAGTGTGAGGATGGCACAGGATAGGACGGGGTTCAGATCTGGTGTTCATAGGTCGCTGTGAATCACACGCGACACGAAGGCACCCAACAACAATGTGTGTAGTTACAATATCATTGGGATGGGTTGCATTTGTGTCTTTTATGTTTATGACTTTAGTATAGGGTGTGTCGGGTCTGTCTCTTTAGAGATACTAAAAAGATTAAACATGCAGGCTCGAAATAGAAATGGAAAAGACACGTGCCAAGCCACATAAAGATCACCCAGGAGCAGAAACAGTGTCCGTCCTCTGGAGCCAGCAGAGCGGGAGGGGCTTCCTCGGGAGCTGGAACCCTAAGTTCGGACATCCAGTCTCTGTTTTATTTTTCTTCTTGTGTACCATTGAATCGGATCTGTCTAGCACAGGAAGAGATTGCTTCTCCGTCTCCAGCAAAACATCTGGTGAATTTGAACTGCACGCCTTTGGGATTGTAGTGCAGCTTCTTGCCACTAGGCCACCAGAGCTCCCAGGATGTCCAGTCTCTGTGACATCTGTGACAACTGTGAGAAAATAAGTCTCTTCCAACCCTCTGCATATGGTGTTTCTGATACAGCAGCACTCGGTAACGAAGACAAGCCTTTATTTGGAAGAGTTATTTGCTGTGGTGGTGTTTTTTAATATTTTCAAAACTGAGAGTATTACCCCCCCCCCAGAATTCTGTAATCAGCTTGGATCTCTATAGCCGTGTTCCTAGGCCGGGAATGACGTGATCCTCCATGCAGTGTCTGGAACACCTTGTGTTACCATTTCTGGGCAAGGGTGCTGCTGGCATCTAATGCTTTAACAAGATGTAGGAGAAAAAACAACAACAAACAACCTGAGGTGTAGGAGAGCCATGAACAACAAAGAATCACCACTGGAATGTCAAGGGCGATGCTGCCCAGAAACCCTGTCCTCAGAGGTGTCTGTCTGTGTGCTGAATTGGGCTACACTGAGGCTTGACTTTAATATTGAGTTCCTTCCTTCCCTCTCAGAGTAATCCTTGTCACTTGAGGAGATAAGTTAATGAGAATGAACTAACGATTGTGCTTGAGGGAAAACTATAGCTGTATTTGTGGGGATTTTTTTTTCTTCTTATCAGCAGCTGGATTTTTTCATTTTTATAGCATCTTGTTTTAAAATAGTGACGTTTAACAAATATAATACCTTAGAGATTATGCCAAGTATCCCAAGGTGTAACTTACCATTCATTTGTTTAACAAAGCTGTTACCTTTCTGCTATGTGTGTTCAGACACAAAACTAAAGGCTAGAGATGTATAGGTTGATTCTATGAGCATATTTTGATTCTAGGAATCCAGTATTGAAATGTCTGTATTAATAGACTTTGCTTATCAAAACTATCTAAATTTAATATTTAAAAAGCACTCTGGCTTTTATTTAAAAGCTTGTTTTATTTATTCATTATTCACAAACTGTAAATTTTATTACTCTGTGAACTCTTATGGCAAATGGAATCTGTGTCTGAAATATCTAATAGCAATGAGCACCCACTGTGCTCGGTATGTGCTTGGTGTATTTTGTAGAGTTGAGCTCACACAGATCTTTTGTGAATTAACTTTTTTTTTTTTTAACAGTTGCTTCTGTTACGGGGATATGCCTTCAATCATTCTGCTGATTTTGAGACTGTTCGAATGATTAAAGAAAAGCTGTGTTATGTGGGCTATAATATTGAACAGGAGCAGAAACTGGCTCTAGAAACTACAGTATTAGTAGAGTCCTACACGGTGAGTAGTCATTGTACAGTAGATACTTTCTACCTTAGGACTTCATTAGAGAAGAGATATTATCTTGAAAAGTCTCATACCTAGAATAGCATTTCCAAACATGAACTTTACAAAATGTGTTTTCTCAAGATAATGGAAAGAGTTAAAAATTTAAAAAGCGTTACGATGACAGATAAATCTAGAACATAGTCCATTTTGTTCTGCTGCGTCAATGCCAGGCTACAGTCTGCCTGTTTCTCAAATGTTTTAGGCGATAATACTCTTCAGCATTCCACCAGGCTAGTGTTCTACAGAGAGCTTTGGTGGCCTAGTGGGTAAAGAGTTACACTGCCAAGTTCTGAGAACTTGGATGTGCTGGTACTTTGTCATATTGAAAAGTTTAGAATTTAAATACACTAGTCTAAGTAAATGTGTTGTTAGAAATGTCAATGTAAACCAAATTCTGGTGTCTTACATAGTGACAATGCTTGTCACTTAGTCTAGTTTAATTAAGTGTGAGGGTGATGGTATAAGAGAGGGAGTTTCCACTTAATAGTTCTCTCCTGATTCAGTGTGAACATGGGATGACCTAAAAGAATTTTCTGCACAAAATATTACTATTACGGTAGCTGACTGCTTAAATTAAAATTTTATTTACCAGAATTTAAATTCCACTAAGTGTGACATAGCAGAATTGCGGGTCCTTTCTTCTTTCTGAATAGAAAACAGATTTTGTGTGAAGTGATTTGTCAGAAGTAGCTGCTATTTTATCATTAAAAGACATTTTGATGGCAAAATAATAAAATTTCATGGAGTGGCGATTTGATGAAAGAAATTATTTCAGTGTTTTAATTGAACATGTCTGTTCTGCTGTGAAGCCCCGGGGGAGCTGCAGCTTTGAGACAGGTGGCACTAACACACAGCAGCGGCTGGTCATTGGTGCGCCTCTGCAGGGCATGGCCTCTGCTCGCGCACTAGTGCGCCAGGTATCCTGCTACATCTTGATATTTGGGGGAACCATATTTTAAAGGTAGAAACAATATCATAATGCTTTAAATTGTATTTTACCTACTTTGTCATTTTTAGAATCCAGAAATGTTGCTGGTATCAGTTTTGTCTCCAGAATAGTTGTTGCTTTAAATTATTACTTCTGGGGGGGGGAAGTATTACTGTTGGGCAGAGAGTTTCAAACCTGTGGCTGAGTGGCACCTGCTTGTTCTTGGTCTCTAGCTCCCAGATGGCCGCATTATCAAAGTCGGGGGCGAGCGATTCGAAGCACCAGAAGCTTTGTTTCAGCCCCATTTGATCAATGTAGAAGGAGTGGGTGTTGCTGAACTGCTTTTTAACACAATTCAGGCCGCAGACATTGATACCAGGTATGTTTGAAATGATGACTGAAGGAGTTTTCAGACTTCTCTGAAATACCTGGAATCAGCAGAGCTGTTCTTCCGGTTTCCATGATTATCCTGTCTTATTTCTTAGCCAGTTCACCAAAAGTAGATGAGTATTTTTTAAAAGGTAAAAACAAATATGTCTGTTTCTCTTGTAAATGTTTTCCATTTTCTTATTTGCTCTTTGCTATGATGTTTTTAGTCACATAAAAGGGATTTTTTATTTAGTCTTTTGTAAATCTTCCCCTTAATTGCATCTAGCATTTTACTCATAGTTAGAAAACTCCCTTTACCCACATTATAGAAGAATTTACTCGGGCACATTTCATAAAGCGGATGTTGGTGTATATATTGTTACTATTTCTGTGTTCAGTTAATAACTCGTAATTTTGGTGAAATGGCTAAGGAACAGTGATAATGGAAAATGAGAACAGTGGTGTTTGAAATTGACACAAACAAAAGCCTAGTGAAAGATAAAAAATCTGATTGCAATTATGGTAAATCCTTAATAGTAGGAATTAGGCACTTTTCTTAATTTAATCATCATTGGGAGGAAAATTGTATTTAAAACTTGATGCCTATAAGAGCAAACAGAAAAAGAAGCATATGCCTATAGATGGTAATGAAGTTTTGGAATTCATAGAGAAATGAAGTCGCTTCAGTCCCTTTTCCTCCCAGCTGACAATGCAAAGTGAGACGACTCCAGTTACACATTCTGTGTGCTGTTGATGTGTACATGGCACACGTAACACATTTCAGCGGCTCGTATGTGGCACATTCTTGGAGTACAACTATTTTTAATTCTGCAATTCTAAAAACAGTGCTCTGGAACCACGTTGGCTGGAATTAATAGTGAACTCAGCCATCAAGAACTCATCTGAGACCCTGGAGTTTGTACTGTATGTTTATGCAAATAACACATGGGTTTATGGTTTTCAACTCCTACACACACACACCCCTTGGCCTTAGTTTCTTAAGTATTGTGTTCCTTTTCCTTGGGCACATTATTATTACATGCTTAAAATTGTGTCAAATCCTGCAAGCCAGTGTATGGCCAAAACACACGTGATTCAGCTGCTAAACTTTGCTGTGAAAAGAATTTCTCAGTCCCTCTCATTTTATGTTATTTTTACTTCATGACAGTTATTTTAGATTTGATACTTGAGGAGGGACTGCTATAATAAATAGACCCATTAATTTTAGAAAAAAAAATAGACTACCTCAAGGCAAAAGAACTGAAGTGAAAATGACACAAAGCAAATGTGAATATTGAAAACAGGAACTGAAATCTTAGAATATAGTTCATTATCTGTCGTTAACAAGCACACATCAGTAACGGTTGGGAAGGTCTGTGATAACAGTCTACATGATGAAAGATTATAACAACCACTGGACATCAGGACAGTACAGTTGTATTTGCAAGAAAATAAGTGTTTTCCTTTAGAAATATTTTCAGCAAAATAATTACAGATGTAAAGAGATTTTGTTGTGTAACAATAGTAATTACAATAAACATGGCATTCTGATGCTTTACATACAAAATGTCATTTCTACATACAGAACTTTGTTTGTCATAGGAACTCTGAGGCTGACATAAAAAGTAACCCTGAGATACTGTTTATAGAGTTGTGTTAATATACAAGCTCAATGAATGCCTGTTGTGTCTTTGTAGATCAGAATTCTATAAGCATATTGTGCTTTCTGGAGGATCAACCATGTACCCTGGGCTGCCTTCACGGCTGGAACGTGAACTTAAACAGCTTTACTTAGAACGAGTTTTAAAGGGAGATGTGGAGAAGCTTTCTGTAAGTATTTAGTCATCAATCCAACTGTGAACACATTTTACAAGTTGGTAGAGTAAATCCTTTCGACCACTAGAGGGAGGAAGGAGGCTTCCTAAATGAATTCCTGGTGCCGTGTAGCGGTGGAGAGATGGGAAGGACAGGCTTCAGAGGAGCTGTACCTCTTCACCGCTGTGTTCAGTTGCTGGAGGTGACCACGTTCCGGCTGATCACGCTGGCTCATCCGCACCGCCCTGGGCTCTCGAGTACACAGGAGCATTCTTAGCTCTGGGGACTACTGGGAAGAGGGAATTTATTTTTTTTTTTCTCTTTAAGCTTACTTTTTAAATAATGTAATCAGCCTTCATTGCTACTCTGGGACTCCTGTTTTCTCATTTTAGTTTCTTTTTTTAATCTTATCTCCCCAACCGGATGATAAAAATCCATTTTCTATTTCTTTTGCATCCCTAATAACTGTCAAAACTCCCAAAACAGACTTTGATTGGTAGGTGTTGATTTTTAGAGTGAAAGTTTTAACTAATAGATAATAGTAGTTGATCATTCTTTGCCCCTTTTTTTTAAAAAACAGAAAGAAAGAAATCCAAACCAACACATAATAGCTACATGGCCCGTGTTACTTGCACTTAATTGAGGATCATCTTATCCTAGGTTAATCTCCCTTGACTTTGATCAGCTGTTTAAATAATTCATTTCAGGATAGCTTATTACAAAGGATTGTGTGTTTCGGAAGTACTAATTTATTTTTTATTTGTGACTCCCATTGTTGAAATGGAATTTGTTCATGAACTCAGTGTGTAGTCACCAGTTCAAATACTGAGAAGGTGTTGAGTCTTTTACTCATTTCTCTGATGTTAGTGAGTTCTCCACATGCAATTCAGAATCAATCCTAGGTAATGATTTCACTTGGATGGTATTTCTTGAGCTCCTGGGTGCCAGACTCAGGACTAGGTGCTGGGAATGGACAAAACAAGTGAAAAAGTCTTAATGTATGCAATGGTTGTTGTGCACCATCTAGTCAGAACTAACACAGAGCTGACCCTCGCCTAGGAGGTGACTGCTCATCTTTGTTCTACAGCTAGTGGATTCGAACCACATGCCTTGGGGTTGGCAGTGCAGCTCCTTACCGCCAGGCCACCAGAGCTCCCTACGGTGAGGTTCGAGGCTACAAAATGGTAGGGGCAGAAAAGATGGTGTGCTCCAGGGGGTAGTGTATCTGATGAGGTGCCTTTTAGTGGAGACCTGAATGGAGGGCAGGAGTGAGCCGTGTGCTGGCTTGGAAAAAAGAACCTTCCAGACACGGGAACTGGAGTTCAGACCTTCCCCCGGTTGGCTACCCACTGGTGGCCGGAGCAGAGTAAGTGAGAGAGGCACTACTTACTCAGCCGAAGTAAAGGATTTGGCTTTTCCTGCTAATGAGGAGGAAGCTTGCGGAGGATTTTGAGCGGAGAAATGGTGAGGACTGACATAATGTGCTTTCGAGGTCATGAAGGCAGAGGAGAGGGAGGAGGAGGGGGGAGGTGGCTATGGACCAGTGAGGAAGCTGTAGAAATAATTTCCAGGTGAATGATGGAGATGGCATATATTGATTGCCAGGGGGGCAAGGATGTTGGAGAATATGCACTTAATATATGTCCAACATTTTAATGACAATATTCAAAAGTAGAGAGGATCACCTACTCATGGCTAAATGTGGTTTCGTCTTGAGAGGAGGGAGGAGGCAGTAGAGGGATGAAGTGGAGAAGATGGTGTGAAAGGTTGTCTTGGAGAGCAGGAGAGGGAACAGAAATGTACTGGGGTAGATGAGCAACCAGAACGGCTCAGGTGAGCTTGGTGATGCATTTGAAGCCAAAAACATCAAAAGAATTCTCTCGTGTCTTACTCGGCTGCTGAAGGGCAGTCACAAAGGAGAGCTGGGAACCAGAGTTGGTGTTTAGCCAAGTGTGATAAGAGGAGAGAAGGGCAGAGTCACTGAGGAGAAATATTATCAGGAAACGAGGGGAACCTGCCGCTGTAGGTGTCTTCAGACTCGGTGACGCCAGCGGAAGTGGATGTCACAGGTGCCATGGACTTGATCCAGCCCCTGGGAGAGCTTGGTACAGGAGAGGCTTAGCAAAAACAGAGGCTGCGGCCAGCAGGCATTATGAGGGTGGGTCAGGGGATTGCCTTGTGTCTTCAGTTAGGTCACTGTGAGGTGGGTCTGACTTGGTGGCATCCACAGTTACAGGAAGGTTTAGAAAAAAGAGGAGGTGGAAACAGCAGTGAAGAAAAGAACGCCTGTGATCAGGTCTCCAGAGGGTAGAAGTAGGAACGGTTTCAAGGAGCGTTGGGGACAGTAGTCTGTCCTCAGGGATATACTAGAGTGATATATAATGTGTGTGTATGTATGCGTGTATTTTTTACACTAGTGGTATATCCTGGCTGAGTTTCCCATAGAGTAAGGTAAGCCATCTACAGCCCGAGGGTAGCTCTTTGAAAGGAAAGGTTAGTGGAGCCCAGCCAGGCCCATTTATATGCATTTTGTTATATCTTGTCTTGCTGGCTTCCTGCTGTACTTGAGATTGACTAGTTGCCAGAGACCACCACAGCCTCAACTGTGTTCTGTCTTTAGAGAACAAATTTGCCGAGCCCTACTTTAGAGAAAAATAACTAGAGCGATTACAACTCATTCTTTATGTCCCATATCAATGGATGCTAGAGTGTGTGCGTAGATAAGGAGTGCTGTAACAGATGCCTTCTGTATGATGCTGTTAACTAAAAGATTGATGGTTAAAATCCACTCGTTGGTCCTTGGGTTTAGGATGGGCTGTCTCCTCCCATAGAGTTTTAGAGCCTTGGGTACCATGGAGGTGGGTGCCCCGGGAGTCAGAATTGATTCCATGGCTGTGGCTTTGGGATTGATATATCTTTTTCATAGTGTATTTAGTGACCAAAACAAATAGTTTAGAGTGACATAGCGTCTCTTGCGGAGTTGTGACAGTGACTAAAAATAGCTGTGTCACCGAAGGCCTCCTTTTCTGGCATTTACTGCTGGGTAGATGGGTAGGGAGGGGGTTCCTGCCTTTGAGACCATTAATTTGCTAGTTACCAGTACAAAACTTCACTCAGTTTTTTTTGGGTTTTTTTTTGTTTTGTTTTGTTTTTTTTCATTTGTGTTCCTGTGCTTATGTTTTCCAACATCCCCATGTTTTGTTTTAACCATATTTGGTCTTAATTTATTTGAAGACTATCTCACTGGGATTTGAATCGTTAGAAAATGAGCTTTGCTTATAGGAAAGGAACGTTGGTTTTCTTTCACTGCACTAGATTGGCATTATAGAGACGTTAAATCTCAACAAAATCTTACAAGTCCGTGATTTGTGTGACAGTGAGCTGTGTGGTCCTCCTCCTTTGATGCTGAAACCTGGATGGATAATCAGGACTCTTGGGCTCTTAGTGATGTGATTGTGTCCTTATTGATGACAGTGAACACATGCCTGAAAATGCAGGGATGTTGGTGATGGTGATGAGGGTGGTGAGGGTGAGGAACAGGGATAAATCAGAATTCTCCCAGCTCACTGAAATGGACGGAAGAGACCCTGGCAGTGAGCTTTGGCCTTACCGTCTCACAGAGCCTACTTTCAGATCCTGTGGAGTAACCACAGGAAAGTCCGTTTGTAACTATGCAAGTGTGACGTTTTATTGTTCCCTTTTTCTCCTTTAGAAATTTAAGATCCGCATTGAAGACCCACCTCGCCGAAAGCACATGGTCTTCCTGGGTGGCGCGGTCCTGGCAGACATCATGAAGGACAAGGACAACTTCTGGATGACCCGACAGGAGTACCAAGAAAAGGGCGTCCGCGTGCTGGAGAAGCTGGGGGTGACTGTTCGGTAAACCCGGACTCCTTCCGCCACAGCCCTGACTGCTTCCTTTTTTCCTTTATTGCCAATCTTTGAACACATTCAACTCCGTGACACAGAAGAGGCCCCTCTGTGCCCTTTGACTGGCAAGGTCAAGCTTTTTTTCTGGGGTCTTGGGGAAGCATTGTTAAATATTTGTTATTGTGGGTAAATCTGACTGTTTTATTCAACCACTTGCCTGCAGACAAAATGAGAGGGCAAAGGGTCCTGTCCTGGCATTGTTTCTTCTTTAGATCATTCCTGTAGGCTTCCTGTGTTCACTTCACTGCTCCGGAGCTGCTAGTGTTAGTCTTTAGCGCACTAGGTGGTATGCCTTTATTAGCATAAGAAAAAGCTTTTACATATTACGGGGTGGGGGGAGGTGAGGGGTGGGGAACCTCTGCTGAACCCTGTAGGCATTCCCTCTGGTGGGACTTTGAATAGTTACTGTGGCAGCTTACCTTAAAGCTCCAGTTAACATCTTGGGGGTGAATGTTAAGCTCAGAACTCAAGTGTTTTGGGTGGGGTTTTGCTTAGGATGTCAGGGGCCTTTTGAATTTGATTTTCGGGGTTTTGACTTTTTCTGCTCTGAGGTACATATGATGAACTTTATTTCCAAAATCTTCATCTTTCTTTGCCTGCAAGTATTTCTGTACTAAAAGCTACTTCAGGATTTGTTTTTTAAAGTCTGCCACATCCGCTAAGACTAGACTCCCTAGAATCTGTCAGTGGGACAGTAACATTTAAAAACTGCTTCTGAAAATTCAAGTTAAAGATTTTAGAAAATGCTTAAGAGTTGATATTTTCTATTTGCTTCTGTTTATTCTGAAGCATCAAGGAACACAGTACCAAGTACCATTCTTGCAAATTATCCACATACCTAACCGGCCAGTGCTTCCATAGTAACCCAGCCGGGTGCATGTACATGGGCACTGGCAGTAGATTACAATTGTTTGGTGAAAAACACATTGGAATATGGGACTTGTTGCCAGTAGGGTAATTGTCATATTTTTATTTGAAAGTGGAATAAAACTTGACCACTTAAAACATTTAAAAAAATCAGGACTTAAATTTGTATCTGTATTGGAAAATGAATCATAACTGCTAATTCTCCTTCATCTTTTATACTTGAAAGAAGAGATGTTGTCATTCGGTGAATTTTCTGCAGACTTTATTGCCTGTGTCAGAAAATCGTATTTATGAATCTTGTTGGGATACCTTAGTGTCTGAGAAAATACCATCTAGAAATGAGTTCTTTCAAATTTGAAAAATAAAGAAATTGGAAATTCTGTCACAATAAGTAACAAAATTCAGATCCTGGGGGGAAATACTTTCTTCATTTTAAAACATTCTTTACTAATAATGACCTTGAAAGAAGACACTCACTATTTTGGGTGTTTGGAATTGGAAATATTATTGTCTCTTGTGGGGGGAAAAACCCCCACCAAAAATAAAAAACCCTTTTAAAATCCATTTATGTGAAATAAGCCGCAAAAACCAAGTAAATATGCAGTTTCTGTTAACATTAGGTTTTGGGGGGAAGGGATCTGTTTTACCTTTGATCTAATAAAGTTTGCCTGCATGCTGGCCATGCTTCAGTGCACATTAATAGTCTATGAATGAATTCTCTTTGAAATTCCCTAAATCATGTGCTTGCAGACCCCACCCTTTTGACAACAGAGTTTGTCAGAAGACCTTTAAAAACCAATACCTTCTGGCTGTTCATTTCAGATAAATGGATTGACTTTTGGCCTTTGGATATGATTTAAATTAAGGGCAGAGAAAGTAACAGACTAGATGCTCCTCTTAAACAAGGAGAGAACATTTACCAGTTGCCCCTAGAATGTCAGATTTGGTTTTAATTTCCTAATTCTCAGCAAATATGACTGCTTAAGTGGTGTAGTTACATATAAACGTATACTATAGATAGTATAATGGAAAATTTTTCATTTTATAATTTTCCTATTCCAAGTTGAAATAACACATTTAGTGTTTGAGAGACCGGGAGTATTATGAGAATTAGAATTACTGTCAGATATGTATTTCACAGACATTTTAAATTTTTCAGTTTTAAAAGATCTGATTTTTAACTCTTAAAACCACTGATACTTAAATCTCCAGTAGCCCTTAGTTCTGTGATTTTTAAATTGGAATTTCCAATATCTTGACCTCTGAGAAGCGTTCTTTAAGAATAAATCTTGCTTTTAAACCTTTTTCTTGGATGTTAACTTTTACGCAGTCCTGAGCCCTGTTTACAATGTCTGGAAAGTGTTTTGAAACTTCAATGGAAAGATACACAGTCTGAATTTAACATGAGCATACTTCTTTTTGAATTGGAAAATAAAATCGATTTTTTCAAAGTAAATTTGAATTTTGTCTTTGTTTTTCGTTTTTCTCTTTGGTCTTTTTTCCCTATATTTATTTCCTGTTTTGGTCACACAAGGTGGATTGGCAGCTTTATGCCTGCTGCTCGGCTCTGAGTTTCATTCCGTGGTTTTCTGGTATTTGACAAGTATTTGTTTATTTCTGGTGTGATTTTAAACTTTGTAAAAAGAACATTCCAAACTGATTAATAGCTGCAGTAGAGTTGACTTTGAACAAGCACACCTGCCCTGTTTCTCAAAAGATCCTAGGCACCTTTCTTAGCATTCGAAACCTGTATGTAACATGCTTTCTTAAAGGGTCATTTTAGCTCTGGTGCGTACTTCTGGGCATATTTTTTTTAAAAAGGTAACTTAAATAAGATGAAAATGTATTCATACATTTTATACTAGTCTTTGAGAATGAGAGCTGGGATGCAGTTCCTCCTCTTCACAGACCTTGTGACTTCAAGGCCTTTGGTCCAATAGGTCATGGCCAGAGTCCCCAGGACATCGCCCCGGTTTTCCCTGGGCAGAGTCCTGCTGAAGAGGCGCTACTGGTCTCCACAGAAGCCCAGTTCTGAGTTTCCAAAAGGAAGCGCTGACAGCTGTCTCCTCTGTAACAGGAAGAAAATCCCAGATGCCGCATACAATGATGGAGACAAAAAAAAAATCTCACTGTTCTTCCTTGTTTTCTTCTGTCCAGTCTTTCACCTCTGTACCAAGTGAGTTTATTAATCCTTCATTTTAGAACCGTACTGTGGTAAACCAGAAGTCAAGGACTGATTTTATTATATCACTATTTAACATGATCTCCAGCTTGGGCCCAACTGGCCAGTCCCCTAAAGAACGCTGCTGTTTGTAGTTGTTGGTAGGTGCTGTGCACACTGATGACCATCCCACCATCTTGGCCAGGCAGGCCTCTCTTTAGGTTACGGTATCAGTCCAGTCCTGTTAGTGTCTTCCTGTCTTTCCTGACCTCCTCCTCCAAGAACTGGTACTTCCTGAGAACATACCCAGAGTGCAAGACAATCTCATCCTCCTTGCCTCTGAGGAATGTTCGGTTACGCTTCCTCCAAGATTTGTTTGATCCACCAGCTGTGCCGTGGGAGAAGATGGACAGCCTCCTTCCACGAGATTGAAATCCTCTGAAAAAACCCGCTGGAGGGTCAGCTATGGGACTTGACAGTACCTGGCAACAACAAACAGTACATTTGGTGCTTTTTTTGCCAACACAGTTCAAAAGCATGGATTCTCCTTTGATATCCCTTATTCATTCATTGTCCAGCTTTCACATGTAAATGAAGAAACTGGAAATACCATAGCTTAGGCCAGACACACGAGTCTTAAAACTGACGTCGCCAGTCTTTAGTACTTTATCGAATTCTCTGATAGCATATTTGCCCAGTGTAACAGGCCTCTTCATTTCTAGGCTGCTGTTACCATGGGATATTGATTGAGGATCCAAGTAGAATGAAATCCCTGATAACATGAATCTGTCGTAAAATTGCCAGTTGGTTCTGTGGTGAGAATTTTGTTTTCTTGGTGTGGAGACATAATGCATGTTGAAGGCTCAAGTCTTTGATCATCTTCAGTCAGTGCTTCTGTTTGTCTTCACTTCAGTTTGTGTTCATCTGCTTAAGACATGCTGTTGAATCTTCCTCCAATCCTGAGGACACATTCTTGTTCACATAACCCTGTCTCTCAAAGAATTTGCTCAGCATACAGATTGAATAGGTCAGGAGAAAGGATACCACCGTCGTGATGCACGCCTTTATTGCATTTGAAACCTTCCAATAGCCCCCCTTGTTCTTTTCAAAGAACCATCTCTTCTGTATACAACTTTCACATGAACACAAATCCAGGGTTCTGCAATTTCCATTCTTCCCAATGTTACCCATATTTTATTATGGTCCACACAGCCCTTTGCATAGTCAATGTAACACAGGTAAATATCTTTTTTTTTACATTCTCTACTTTCTGCTAAGATCCATCTGGCATCAGCTTTTGTACAGCTTTCGCTAAATCCAGTTCCTGGCAGTTTCCTGTCAACATGTCTTGCTTTCAGTAGTCTTCAGCAAGATTTTACCTGCATGTGTTATTAATGACAATGTTCAATAATCTCTGCTTCCTCTTAGGTCCTGGGTTTTTTGTAATGGGAACAAGCGTGAATCTCTTCCAGTAGGTTGGTGGGCCAGCTAGCCATCTTCCAAATTTTTTTCCTTTATTCATTATTGCAAATTTTCTTCCCAACTAACCCCACACTGCACCCCTTGTTCCAGATAGTTGTCATACATCTAGTGCCTAATCATATATCCCTTTTGGGTCATCTTCCATCAATTCTTGGAACCTTTTTCCCCTCCCCCTTTCCTTTTCCTAAATCCCTTTAGTGCTGTTTGGGCTTTCCCCCCACTTGTTCAAATTCCTTGGACTCTTAAAAGGCTGAAAATGCTGTACTGGAATTAAGCAGAGGAAGTAGAAAGGGACCTGGGGAAGCATTTTTGCGTTTATGGGTTACTTTAAAGGCTGAAATTAGTGATTTTAGCCACTATGCTGTAAATAACTTGAATCAGAACTAAAATTGTATTGTCATGTGCCCATGTTGTTATGAATCAGAACTGATGCATCGCTTACTCTCCAGCAGGGAGGGAGAGGGAGAGGCTCCCTACCCACAGAGCCCACAGGGCTGCCCTACAAATGCATTAGGGCGGTTTAAAATAAGGCAGCTATTATGGAAATGCCAGCGATTTTCACTAAAAGCACTGCATTGCTTAAGTAAATCTGAAATTAGGCAGAAAGGCACTAGAATAACTTTAAAAAAAAATAGTCTGTGCTATGTCAGTGGTGAAAAGCAGTCTTGTACCTATTATAAGTTCAGTTGTGTCAGTTCGTGTTACCTGCAGATGTGAAAAACCTACCTGGGAAGGGAGAACCCAGTGATTTCTCTAGAAGAACAGAGCTGCTTCCGTCTGTCTGTCTTAACAT